GAAGCAACGTTATACACGCTTTGACAGGGCCGCCGGGGGCGGCAGAAGAATACGCCTCTGAATTTAGGTGTTGGATGGGGGGACACACGCTGGAACGAGTTCGCGTTGCGACACCAGTTCCGTATGGGTCTGTCAGAGCCCTTGAAGGATGAGCTGGCCCGAGTGGGGGTTCCGAGTCACTAGAAGACCTAATAGCCCTGACAATTCAAATAGACCGTAAAACTGCGGGAACGCAGGTTTGAGAGGTCCGGTCAGGGTCACGGAAATGCATGGGGTCCAATTCCAGGCCCCAGCCAACAAACCAGAACAAATATCCAGAACCCACTTCCAGGAGATGCGCAGGAACCAATGCAACTAGGCCTGGCTCGGCCTAAATTATCGCCAGAAGAACGCCAGCGGAGACGCTCTCTGAACCTCTGCTTCTACTGCGGTGAAGCCGATCATTTGGTACGATCCTGCCCTCAGAAAACGAGTAAGTGCACCTCTTTTTCTTCTCTGGCTATTGGCAAGGTCAGTCCGTCCCAATACTTAGTGGGTGCCCCTCTCCTTTCAGCTTCCAGAAAGGACCGTGGAGGTGACAGCCATAATTGATTCAGGGGCATGCAGCTGTTTCCTGGATTTAGATTTTGCTCATCAGCAGATGATTCCCCTCCAGCCCAGAAAACGGGGCTTTAACATATTTCTGGCAGATGGCTCCCAGATAAAATCAGGAGTAGTTGACCAGGAAACTCCCCCTATCGCCACTACCATTGCTAACCAGCATCAGGAAGTCCTCCGCCTAGATGCCATTGCGTCACTCTTTTTCCAGTCATTTTGGGACTCCCTTGGTTGCGGGCCCATAACCCCCAAATTGACTGGGAGGAAACCGGGGTCTATCTTGTTTCCTTCCCCGTATTGTCAGGAACACTGTCACACTGCGGGCTCAGCAGCCCCCAGGTCCTCCTGTGCTCCGAGGGGGACTCCGATCTGAAAACAGGTTATTCCCGCAGCATACCATGATTTCTTAGATGTATTCAGTAAGCGGGGGGCAGACACCTTGCCCCCACCGCCCGTATGACTGTCCAATTGATTTGTTGCCCGGCTCGAGATCCCTTTTGGGCGGATTTTTCCCCTGTCTGAACTGGAATTGGGGGTCCTGAAGGAATACATAGAGGACAGTCTCCAGAAGGGGTTCATCCGTGCCTCTACTTCACCAGCCGGGGCGGGGATCTTCTTTGTGGAGAAAAAAGACAAATCTCTGCAACCCTGCATTGACTATCGTGAACTGAACAGAGTCGCGATTAAAAATCGTTACCCACTGCCATTGGTACCTGAATTATTTCAGAGCCTGAAGGCTGCGGCAATATTTACTAAACTTGATCTCAGGGGGGGCCTACAACTTGGTTCGCATAAGGGAGGGGGATGAGTGGAAGACAGCATTTCGTACCCGGTTTGGGCATTTCGAATATCTGGTAATGCCATTTGGACTGTGCAATGCCCCAGCCACATTCCAACATTTTGTAAACTACATTTTCCGGGATTACCTTGACGTTTTTGTAATTGTTTACCTAGACGATATACTGATTTCTTCTCATCCTCTCTGAAGGATCACAGAATACATGTGGCAAAGGTATTGGGTCGGTTGCGCCAGCATGGGTTATACGCCAAAGCAGATAAGTGCAGTTTCGAGCAGTCCCAGCATTGTGTTTCTGGGTTTGATTATCTCCACCACGGGAATCGCATTATGGACCCTCAGAAGGTCTCTGCAATTTTGGATTGGCCTGTGCCCACTGACAAAAAAGGGCATCCAGCGCTTTATCGGCTTGCAAATTTTTATCGGAAATTCATTAGGAACTTCTCGGGTCTGGTCTCCCCCATAACTCAGCTAACCAAACTTGGAACCCGCTTCATATGGACGCCGGAGGCTCAGGAAGCCTTTGAGGCCTTGAAAAAATTATTTACCACGGCACCTATTTTGGGCCATCCAGACGCTTCCCTGCCCTACGTACTGGAGGTAGATGCATCTGAGAATGCGGTGGGTTCCATCCTGTCCCAGAGAAAAGGCACCAAAGAATTACTCCACCCCATAGCATTTTTCTCGAGGAAGCTCACCCCAGCCGAGAAGAACTACGATATTGGCGATCGGGAGTTGTTAGCCATCAAAACTGCACAGGAAGAATGGAGGTACTTGCTGGAAGGGGCCTCACACCTCATCTTGATCTTCACTGACCATAAAAATCTCGAGTACCTGAGGACTGCCAAACGGTTACGTCCACGGCAGGCAAGATGGGCGCTGTTTTTCTCCAGGTTCATATTCCATATCACTTACAGAGCTGGGTCCAAAAATACAAAACCTGATGCGCTATCACGCATGTTCGAAGACTCCAAAGAAGAACCGGTACCTTGATACTACTCTGTCCTCAGGGAATTTCTTGGCTCTCCCGACTGACCTTCAGTCCAAACTAATGGATGCATCCATGACCACAGTGACCCAGCTGGTGGTACCCTCTCCAGAACAAGGGGGGACTCCTCTGGAAGGAAGGATTGATCATGGTACCCGAAGAGGTCCGAAACCCTTGTCTTAGGACAGTGTCATGACCATCCAATGGCGGGACACTTTGGCCCAGCGAAGACCCTGGAACTTCTTCAACGTTCCTTTTGGTGGCCAAACATGGCCAAGGATTGCAGGCTCTACGTGAAATCTTGCACCATCTGTCAGAAGAACAAGCCATCGAGGAACAAGGCCTGGGGGCTGCTGCGGCCCTTGCCGATCCCTGCACGACCTTGGCAAAGGATCGCAATGGACTTTATAGTCGAGCTCCCCCCGTCTCAAGACCACACCGCGATCCTTGTAGTCATCGATCGTTTATCAAAATGGCTCACTTTTTACCGTTAAAGAAGACTCCGTCAGCAGCCGAGATCTGCGCGAATTTTTATCCAGGAAGTTGTAAGACTACATGGAATCCCGGAGGACATTGTCTCGGATCGAGGGGTCCAATTCACGTCTAAATTTTGGAGGGCACTGTGCAAGGCGTTGGATATCAAATTATCCCTCTCCTCTGCGTTCCACCCCCAGACCAATGGACAGACCGAGAGGACCAACCAGACCCTGGAACAGTACCTGCGTTGCTACACATCCTTCCTACAGGATAATTGGCTACCACTCTTACCCTTGGCGGAGTTCGCATACAACAACGCCAACCATTCTGCAACGGGGGCAGTCACCGGTTTTTTTCAAACTACGGATTTCACCCTGTCTTTCTCCCTGACTTGGTTCCTGAATGCCCAGTTCCGGCGACACAGGACACGCTAGCTTTCTTCTCCTCCAACAATAAAATACTACAGGAGGCTATCGCTCGGGCCCAGGAGGACTCTACAAGAAGGAGTTTAACAAAAGACGAAGAGGGGACCTGGTGCTGCAGCCCGGGGATAAAGTGTGGTTGGCAACAACTAACTTGAAAATGCTATGTCCATCAAATAAATTAGGACCAAGTTCATAGGCCCCTTTTGCATAAAGCGGGCGGTCAACGAGGTGGCATACGAACTTGTCCTCCCTGACACACTCAAGATACACCCGGTCTTCCATGTGTCCCTGCTGAAACCAGTAATCCCTGATGCTTTCCCAGAACGAGAATCCCGACCTCCGGAGGCCCATAACGGTCGAAGGGGAAGAAGAATTTGAGGTGGAAACAATCCTGAAGTGCTGAAAGGAGGGGGGGGGTCAGGACCCAAATTTTTATTAAATGGAAGGGCTATGGCCCGGAGGATAATTCTTGGGAACCAGCCCATAATGTCCATGCACCCAGACTTGTCCGGAGGTTCCTTCGTGATCACCGTGGTGGAGAGATCGGGTGGGCACCCAGAGGTTGCCCGTAGGGGGGGGGGCAATGTCAGGGATCCCCGCCGCGATGGGCTCGGCGCAGGCGCAGTGCACCGCCCTGTGTCAGAATGCGGGCACTGAGAGCTGGCCGGCCGCAGCGAGGGAGTTCGCGCATGCGCAGTAGGGACCGCGGGCACGCGCGTGGCACCAATGGCAGCGCAGGGCGGGATATTTAAATGGCCCTGAGCTGTCATTCAGTGCCTTCTGGTCTTTCCTTGTATCCTGTATCTGCGAACCTGTTCTAAGTAAGTTACTGACCCGGATTGTACCTGACCTTGTTGCCTTCTCCTGCCCAGACCCTTGCTTTGCCTGACCTCTCTCCTGAATGCCCCCGTTTGGATCTGACCTTCCGTTGCTGACCTGGCGTGTGACCCTGACTACTCTCTGCCCGCTGCCTTGTACGCTCCGTCCCCACTGTTACCGACCCGGCCCGTTTGACCCTGCACTTGCTCAGCCATCCATCCCGACGGGATCACCCGACCTCCTCACATCAGGCTCTTCCCTGCGGGAGCCCCTGGCGAATACCGCTACCACTGACAGGCGTGCTCAGTAGCCACGACCTGGTCTCGGGGTACTTCAAGTCCATCCCCACCATCAGGGGCTCTGGTGAACACGTACCCTGGGGCTTAGATACCGTGCGCTGGGGACGTCTGGCCAGTGGAGTGCTAGTGGTACCGCCTGGTGGTCCCTTACAGCAGTTGCCCCTTTTGCCCCTTAGAAATCTGGCACTGAACACTATCACATGGGTAGGTAGAGAGGTCCTGAAGATTGTGTCACCTCCAAATTGTGACTTGGAGCTCACACAAGGCTTCTTTTCTGCCCTCAGTAGTGGTGTGCAAGTGAATGAAAGGTAAGTATGCACCTGTAACCTGTTGCTTTGCCCTGCATAGACAAAGCACAGATTCACTTTAACTTTAATAGAATAGTTGACCTTTGAGTAAAATGATTTGTGAAATTCGGACCACATAAAGAATTATACTTGACATCAACACTGAATTTGTACTTTGCAGAAGAAAATCTATGCTTTATACACAGTGCCAGAAAGAAAGAACAGAAATGCAGTTCAGCTATAATGTGCATTGAGCTGTATTCCTGTCTGTGTGGAGTTTAATAAGTTACAACATGTTTAATGCATTTGCAGAAAGAACTCCAGAACTGCAAACAAGAAAATCGGAATCTCCAAGCAATCAAGGTAACTTAAACCATGAGATATTTGTTTTTGGGATACCTGTACATCTGATCCAGGATTGGCTGGATTATTCTACAGCCCTGTCATTTTTACCAGTTGGTTCAGATTGCCGCTATAGCATGTAAGCTAATGCCTAATGGACTTTGGAAACACACAATTTATACTTAATGTATATTCAAAGCTAAACTTTGATTTTCTTATAGTTTACTTTCCCCGGTTCCTCCTTTTCCCCCTCATTAACAGGCTAATAAAATTCATGAATGAAACCTTTGTTTTCAGTACATACTTTATTTTAGACCCAGTGACATCACCATTTGGTCTCTGTGCTTCTCTATGCAATGCAGGCGTGTCATAACTTGTGAGATGGCCCAGCAGGGTGCTCTACATAGTTTACCGAAACCAGAAGCTGTGGTAATGCCCACATAAGATGCTGAGCCTCCACAATTGAAAGAACTGAAATCCAATACATGAAAATGTTGGGCCAGGGATTGTAAGTCTGGGGAGGAATGAGTTTGATGATGCTGGATATCCTCCAGCAATGAGGCAGGCTCTGTCTGACTTGCTGCAGCTTCTGGTGCACACTTTGAGAAGTTTACAGCATGCAGTGAAATGAGTAAGCAGTCCCAGTACAGGAGGCAAGCCTGTACAACCGTGCAACATGGAAAGTAAGACTGGCGTTTAGTTTTAGGCAGGTTTTTTTTTTCTCAGAGAAAAGGTGCAGGAACTCTCCCCCCTTCCCTAGATCACACTGGTCTCTGCTCCCGAACTGCCCCTAGAGCTGCCCCCTAAAACCACCTCTTGTCTCCACCCCTACGCACCTAGGACCACCCCTGTAGAGAACAGGGAACCAAGTAAGCTTTGGGGGGACTATACAAGTAATTTCTATAGAATTTGTTATTAAAAAACAATGCAGTTAAATGTACAAAATACTTGAAACATGCAGCCCTTACCAAAGTAAGCTCAGAGGCACTTCCAGACTATTGCAACTTCCTTGTCATACTGAATGTATCTTGTCTCCTTGCTTCTCACATCAGAGATATCTCCCAAATCCAGCAAAGAGACATCTCCATATTTAGCAGAGACATCCCCCATATCCAGCAAGAGACATCCCCAGATGCAGCAAAGAGACATCCCCATATCCAGAAAAGGGACATCCCCCATATCCAGCAAGAGACATCCCCATATCCAGCAAGAGACATCCCCCATATCCAACAAAGAGACATCCCCCATATGCAGCGAAGAGACACCCCCATATCCAGCAATGAGACACTATCCATATCTAACAAAGAGACATCCCCCATGTCCAGTAAGGAGACATCCCCCATATAGATCAAGAGACAGCCACTGTATTCAGTAAAGAGACATTCCCCATATCCAGCAGAGACATTCCCCATATCCAGCAAAGATACATCCCTGTATACAGCAAGAGACAGTCTCATGTCCAAAAAAGATACATATTCCATATCCAGCAAGAGAAATCTCCATATCTAGCAAAGAGACATCCCCCATACCCAGCAAAAGACATCCCTCATACCCAACAAGTGGCATCCCCCATATCCAGCAAGAGACAGCCCCATATCCAGTAAAGCAACTGCTTATTCCAGCAAAGAGATATCCCCATATTTAGCATATGGACATACCCATATCCAGCAAAGGTACATACCCCATATCCAGCAAAGAGACATCACCAATATCAACCAAGAGACAACCCAGTAAAGCAGAGACATCCCCCATATCTAACAAAGAGACAGCCCAGTTCAACAGCAATTAGACACCCCTATATCCAACAAAGGGACAACACCCATATCCAGCAAGAGACATCCCCATATCCACCAAAGAGACATCCCCTATTTCCAGCTGTCTCTTTTCTGGATATGGGGATGTTCCTTTGCTGGATATGGGTGTTGTCCTTTTGCTGGATATAGGGGTGTCTCCTTGCTGGATATGGGGGTCTATTTGCTGGATATGAGGATGTCTCTTGCTGGATATGGGGGATGCCTCTTTAAGCAAACAGCTTAACCCAGCAAAGAGACATCCCCCATATCCAGCAAGCAGACATCCCCTATATCTAACAAAGAGACATCCCCCATATCCAACAAAGAAACATCCCAATCCAGCAAAAAGACATCCCCCTTATCCAGCAAGAGACAGTCTCATATCCAGCAAAGAGACATCTCCATATCCTGCAAAGAGACAGCTTAATCCATAAAAGAGACATCCCCCAAATCCAGGAAAGAGACAGCCTAATCCAGCAAAGAGACATCCCCCATATCCAGCAAAGAGAAAGCCCAGTCCAGCAAAGAGACAGGCACAGCACAGAGCACAGTTCCAATCAGCAGCATTGTCATTTACCGAAAAATGAGTCAGACCAATGAACACTAGCACTGCAGTCAGCCAGGAAAAGGACAGGCTAGCTACCCACATACCTCTGATACACAGTGAGTTGACTGGCGGCTGCCGCGAAAATGAGCTTCCTGTCTGCAGGGAGAGGTGGAGCGGAGTGCAGCTCACTCCACCTTCCGCTCCCTTGGGCTGCTGCTGGAGAGTCGAGCTGTATCACCCGCCGTATGATCACTCTGCAGCTACCCAGCTTACTGAGTGTACACAGCGGCTTTGCTCCCAGTGCCTCCCAGACTGGCTCTGGCGGAAGTGCCGGAACCCCGTTCCGGCACATTCCACCAGAAAAAAAAGCCCTGGTTTTAGGTAGCTGAAATAGTATAACCATGCACATATCATGTGTGCTGCTCTTGCTTTCACTTTCTTACAACTTACTAAATTGATTTATACTTCACAACTTGGTTAAAGGAACCTACACACATTAGATGGTGGTCAGATGTGTAGGCACAATCCGACTGTCAAAGGATCTTTCATATGACAGCTCTTTATATAAATAAATGTTCAAATTGGCCAAACATACATGTTTGCGTCTATTTAGAAGAAAGAAGAGACTTTGTAAAAATGCCTGGCAGTTCTCTGGGAAAATTCAACCAGCTGATTGCTTATTCCCCGAAAAAGGGTCCGGTAAGGAATGTTTTCAAGGCTGGGGCATGCATATAGTCATATGATTATTTCCCAATCTGGCCAAAACTGTCTGGTGCAAAAAATAATGTCATGTCTTTAGGCACCTCATGACATTCAAAATGTACCAGAATAGTTTGTTTTATGTGGTTCAGTATCATGTGTTTCTAGCATGCTTTTTATAAAGAACAAGATTGTTTTTGTAGCATTTCAACTGTATGCAGCATATGTCTTTACTGTCTGGCTTTGCTTCTGTTGTCAAAGAAGAAGAATGTAACATATATATGTGCTAAACAAGAATGCAGATTCCTCCTACACCACTGACTCACCTTCACACCATACATATAAAAATAACTGCTGAGATGTTCCCACTAGTCATCTGTGTTATGCTTGTTCAATGTCCTAAAGTTGCATGAACTTGAATTTACATTCTTAACAGATACTGTAGGTCATCTGCACACTGGTAGTTCAGGGATGGTTGAGGGTCATAGAATCATTACATGGCTTCTCATATCTTTCTGGTGATGAGTTCTCTGCATGTGAGTACCAAGGGCAACCCTGTTGATTGCTAAGCAGTTTCACAATACCTCATGGATTATTTTTAAAGTTGCAGTATGCATTTATGTTAAGATAAACACACTGGGACAAGAAGCAAGACACACTGCAAAAGTATTGAAGATATCTCTCCATTGAATGACCTGAGAAACCAGTGGGTGGCTATCTAAAGTGTGCGGGTTGACTCCTCTTCATAGATCTCATTTAAAAGAAAAGTGCCTATATATGGACTAATTCATGGCAAAGATTAGACTGCTTTAACCCTGATTTGCCAAGATTGTCCTTGTGTCATCATAGGCAGTTTCTATGACCATCTGATATCTGATTCACAGCAATTTGATATGGAATAGCCAGTGCATGTGACCATCCTACAACCATTCTCTGTCCCACTTGATATTGATGTGTTTATAGACAAATTTGCCCATGATGATTACTATCATTATTATTGCAATCAGATTGTGCATACAGTACAGTACATTAGCACTCATTCAACACATGGCTTGGCTTTTCACAAATTCTATATTTGTATAATCTTTATAGCTTACTGCCACCTTTTCTTAACCCCCGTCCCCCACCACCACACACACACAGCCTTTATTATGCTTCCTCATATTTTTAAATGTAACTTAAATCCAGCAGTATTCTGGGCAACTGCCATCTTAGGACCTTCCTCTTTACAGCTGCAGTGGTGAGAATTCCTTATTCCTGCACTGACTGGCGCTTGCCTTATGATGTGTGACCATGTTTGAGGTAGGATTATCTATGAGCCCAGGCCAGTGTCATGGTGAACTCCAAGGGGGTGTATCCATGATAGGCTGGGCTTACAAGAAAATGGGTTCAGTGACACTGACTGTCATTTAATCCAAAAGGGAAGCGAAATCTAGTGAATGGGCAGACTTTCTACAGAGGTCACAAGCTGAGTATTGCAGAAAATGTTGTTTTGTTTTGTTTTGTTTTTTTAATTCTACTGCAGGACTATTTATTTTTTTATTTGGTTCTTAAACTGAAATTATGCTTTAGGGCCCATTCACATTTATGTCTTGTGGTAAAGTATGCATTAACGCAGCATGTTAATGCACAATGCACATAGTGTATGGCACCCCATTGCACATACATTGCTGTGATCCACAAAGCACAGTAATGCAATCTTGCGCTGTGGTACTTTGTGTTGCTGAAAATGGTGCATGACCGTTTTTTTTTGTTCTGGGTTGTTGGTAGCCATTTAAATTAACGTACAGTAAAAGTGACTGTATATAGCCCAGTCTTTTGTAGGTAACATTTATGGTTGAACTAGATGGACTTGGCTTTTTTGAGCCAGACTAACTATGTATCTATGTACAATACCCAATCTGAGCATCTTATGTGAGGTTCAGTGAGGACTGGACTTTGCAGGGATTTTTTCTGTAGGTGCTCTATATGTACTAATCATT